GGTGCCTAGTTGCACGAGAAATTTATAGTTCATTCTAATGGGGGGGCCCCCCCCCCAGACCCTAACCAAAAATAGTGAACTGAACCAGGCCAGTTTATCCATCAGAGATAAGTCCACGGCCATCTTTCAGGGTGCAGAAAGCTTGAACTCTCAACCTCAGCTCTTCACAAATGATTCCACTTGGCTACAAACAGCACTGGGATGGAGCCCACCTTGCACCCCCTCGCAGCCAGCCTACAGGTCGCAGGAAGGCAGGCAGGCCTGTAGCCTGCTGAAGGCAAACCCCTACCTGGGACGAAATGCCCAAACTGCCGTTCTCTGCCCGGTACTGCTTGAACTGAAGGCGGCAGCAGCTGGATCAGGGAACAGCTGGATCCCCACATTGCTGCTAGCAGATGAGGCAGTTTGCAGTGCAGGAGCTGCAGGGCTCCACCACACAGAGTAAGGACAGGCTGTGGCCAAAGGCTCACACCTCCTGGAAGTCTTTTATTCACTACTCCGCAAGGCGTGGATAAGCCCTTTCCATCTGGGCACCTATTCTGCTTTATCTTAGGCAGCATATCATGTTTAAAGTTAAACGTGTTTTCTGCAACCGTGTCCGTCAGTGAGGTGGGACCTCAGTTTACATCCAACCCCTGGCCTTCATCTGCAGTGTCCAGATCTTTATTTAAAAAAAAAAAAAAAAAATCTGAAAAAGTCTTCTTTACATGCGATGTAGTAATTACTTCCTTATATTTTCCTCTTTAAAAGGCTCATATAAAAGCCACAGATACTTTCAAGGAAAATACAGTAGCAAGATAATTCTAGTAAAGAAGGGGACAGATTTATATTCCATTGGAGACAGTTATGCTCATTTTTAAATTGAGAGAATTTTAATACTGCCTTTAGAATTAAATGTTCTTGCAGTTTTCTAGAACAGATGTCAAGACTGTTACTACTTCTGTCATAAAGGGACAGCTGGAACCACTCTGAACTGACAAAAAAAGGATTTCTTTGGCAGGCTTGGCAGTCAGACATCGGGAGTTACAAATGTAGTTTTTCTATACAAGTGCATCAGTCGAGTGTTGAGTCATACATAAAGAAGCACACACGCGACTGACCCTTGCTGACTGAAAACCCAAGAGTTCCATAAATAATGGCAAACTGGAGATTCACGAGAGCTGCTTCAGGGAGTGAGTTTGTTCAAACCAGTGATTTCTGGGTTTGGAGGCTCCCTTTGAGGGACCTAATGCCCGTGTTAGAGGACTGCACCGCAGAGGGAGGCGCACGCCCTGAGGAAGTTCTTCCAGTCATGCTGCGCAACGCCCAGATCAGCCGCAGACCACCGCTGATGAAAAGGATTCACAAGTCCACAATAACTGCACGGTGTGCAAGGCAAAATGTTAATTGGACTTGTCTTTCATCAACAACGATGTCAAAACTCTCTCAAGGCTACAAATCTCTAAAGACCACAGTTGTTATAACTAACATATTTTAACCTTTCTTCCTGACTCTCACTTTTAAGCCTAGATATGTTTGTACAGTATAAATTCCATACGTTTTACTTAAAATTTATTTTATTTTATAATAAGCAGAAAGGAAGGATAGTCCGAGATCTTGGCGTTGGCAATACCTGACTTTTCAGGCAAAAAAAGCATATATTCTCTACATCACAGGAAAGTGATTAACTGCGTTAAAAATATGGTGCAATTAAAAAAATCTGACTGTGCCTTCAGGGCAAAACAGAACAACGTAGGATGTACAAACCTACCAAACATTGCCTATCCACATAATCAAATGTACACGTTTTTAAGAAGAACACAGGAGATTCTAGGCTTCAGTGTAACTTGCACAAAAAGCAAAGCCTAAAGGTTCTTCTTAACCCTCTTCCCCGCCCCCCTCTCTCCAAGGATTTGCTGTGAGTCTTCAAGTGATTCTGTCGCATCCGAAAGCCGTATTCAAGCGTCGTGGTTCTCAGCCAGGAATGCAAGAATCTGATTTTCTGAAACAGATAACAACGGTGGAGGAACTGGAGCCAAAGGCGAACAACTGCACAAAGGTACGGATTTCCACACTCGCTAAAAAGCTTTCCTATCATCTTTGTAGACAACTGTACTGACAGAAATGTTATTTTGTAGGTTCTTGTATGGCACACGCGAACAGAAAAAGTAAATCTAGCTAACGAGCCAAAACACCGCCTGGACACAGTCACCATTGAGGTATGACGTGGAGGCACGGTCACACGGGGAGCACCGGTACAGGACGGCGGGTGGGGCGCAAGGGGTCTGAATGCAGCCAGTCCCAACAGCCTGCTGCTGCACGAGACCTTGTAACAGTCGTCTGACGGACTGCTGTGGAAACAAAAGGAAGCCGTCAGGTACTCTAACACGCGAATCAAGTGGGTGTGCTTTATTCTAACTTGTCTGCATGCATTTCTGAACTCTCGTCTTCATCAACTGACACTTACCTTTGTTTTAAGGCTGTTTCCACATAGTAAAAACAATCACAGAGAAACATGGCTGCAATGGAGTATTTTCAAAATCATCATTAATGTTTATACTTTTTGTATTTATCCAGCTTAATGGTGTAATTATAAACTGATTTTACACCACCAACTGTTGATCTAAAGATTTGCATAAATGGATCCTCCAAACTGAATGTGTTTGCCTTCATTAAAAATAGACTTCTTGCAGAAGCAGCGGTCAAACAGGTCATCCAATAGTGAAATAAAAACCCACAATCATTCATGGATTTATCCTTTTAATATAGGGAAATAACATTTTATCATTACGAGGCACCATAAAATGTAAACACAATCACTGTCATAAACCTGGATATCTCTGCAAGGAAAAATATACCTGTTCACACCGAGTTCCCTCGTATACATGTTGTGCCGCCAGTTCTCAGCATTAATACTGTGTACGTGCCTCGGGAGCCAGATCGGGTGCTTTGTCACAGGAAACGCAAATGGATCAAATGCTCATTTTTAAAAGAATAAACTATTGATTTGTAGAACTACAGCAACATCCAGGTTTATCTTTCTTTCAATAACCATATTCCTTGTTATGCACACCATAACAACATCACAGTGAAATGTATGATGAAACAAAATTTGTTTGATACACTAGAAAACATTGCTCAGTGATACATTTACATTCTATTTATAGATGATTAAACATTTGTTCATACAGTACCTTCTACAGGATTACTGGGTAATTTTTGGGGGTCGGGGTTCATATTTTTGGATATTACTAACATGATAGCTACATCCCTTATATGCAAACATTTGATCTAGAATTTTGAGGGGGGGAAAAAAATCAGTACGTGGTTAAGCAGCTTCTTAAATATATGGTCTAAGAATTCATATGCATTGTATGAAACGCTGCCAGTGATGTATAAATGTATTCTTGATCTGCTTTTCACTACATCAAATTTAAATCAATATAGACCACAACACGGTCAGTCAGTTATATTCTTAATCTGAACAGCTGGGGGAAACCAAAATGAGTATGTACATGGAAGGAACAGCGGAAGTAAATGCATTTGAACAAGGAATGTCAGGTGGCTGTTCTGGGCGAGGCTTCTGTTGCAGCTTTCATTTCCACAGTTGTGTGCTGAGAGTCTGGCCAGAGGCGCTTCCAGTCCACCCTGCCGCCGTGCTGGGGGGCTGGCCAAAGCCCATCACGCTGCTGGAGCTGCTGAGGTTCATTCCCGCCATTTGCTGGTTCATCTGCGAAGCACACACACGAGCCCAGTTAGCATAGGGGTCGAAACACAACTGGCACCGCTCGCCAGAAAGCTGTCCCGCTTCCTGAACCAGCCACCCAGTTACAGTACAGTTCCCTGAAATCAGTGTTGCTCATGAAATAAAAATACTGACTCAGTCTAAGTTTCCAAGCGTTTTTGGAGGTAGCAGCTTTTCTGGAACCAGTTTCTGCTGAAGCGATCTCTGTCACAGAGCAGGGGACTGCCTGCAGCACCGGACGCGTGTCAGGCCCGTGCGCACACACGGCTAGGGAATTACGGAGCCTGTGACAAAGGAGGCCGGGGCACCTCTGCTGGTAAGAGCTTGCTTTCCAGTTTCAAAGCTAGCCAATAAAATTGTGGCAACTGCGATAACGAAACACCAAGTAATACAGCCTTTGCAACGCCGGATCGTTTTTGGTCCAGCAGTATTTCTTTGGAGACCTCAAAATCTTGAATACACAAGTTTTCATAGAAATTCTCTGTTCAGGTGGTAAGCAATAAAGACTGAGGCAAATTTATAAACTTGAGTATTAGCTAAATCTAACCATTCTTGCTAAAGGATCTACTGAAGATACCATAATTTCTTGAAAACAAGTGAAACCATTCAACGCAAAAACATTTCTACTCTCCACGAGTATTACTTAGTCACTGTAATTTTCAGTGCTCAAGGTAAAAACATTCGTCAGGTTCCTCTCCCTTGCTTTCTACAAAATGAGCACGTATGGCAAGCCAAAACCCCAGCTGTATGGGCAGAGTAAAGACGGCCCCTCTCGTGAGCTTGAGAGCAACAGAGCGTTCGGAGCAATTAATAATCGGAGCCAATGAACAGGGATGTTGGATAAGCAACGTTCAGTCCAAGTTAGAGAAAGCATTAGGTGAAAATCACCGAGTTGCAAAATGAAACTGAAACCTTGGTGAAAAAAAAATTGCTAAATAAACTACAAACGAGTACTTCAGGGCAGAATTCAGTACTGTGCGCTTTCACACGCGTATCCGCAAACCCAGCCCATCACTGCACGAGGGAATCAAACGAAGCCGATGAAAACGCACTTCCCCTGCTGCTGGTACTGGGGCAGAGCTCCTGAGCAGCAGGCGACACGTGTAATGCACGCTGTCCTGGCGAGGGACGAGGGATGGCAGCTCCCCCTGCCAGCTGGAGCCCGAGGGGAGGTCCCGGTTCCCGACAGACTGTGGAGTACGGGTGTACTGGGGACACCTGACGCGCAAGCAGCACAGATGCACGTCGCTGTGAGCCGCCTTGCCGTACACACTTGACAAGAAGCGTGATTTTAACCTCAGAGTCACGGGGTCTTTCTGAAGTTAGATACCTAGAGAAAGACTGTTAACACTAAACCTACAGATTTTTTTGGTTTAACATTTTGAAATTCTCACCTTTTAAAAATTACTTCGCAAAGCAGAATGACAGCCTGTACTTTCAAACAGGGGCTGTGTTATCCACATAAGAAAGGCTGCTTACCATCATAAACGTTCGCACCACAGGACTGAGCAGAACAGCAAAAATTAATATAATCCCATCTAAGTAAGTCACAGTGGTTCACTCCAGTAAGGAGCATGGAATCATCATATTGTTCTTATAATTCAAAGAATATTACGAAAAAATAGTTGCTATCATCCATACGGAACTCCAAGGGAATCATTTAGGTTTGTTCTCCGCCCCCCTTAATAACCTCTTGCATATTTCACGACGTTTCCTTAGACAATGCACAAATACAGTACTAAGTGGACACCAACACTTTTAGAGACCCTTCTAAACATGTTTCGGACATTTTAAAAAACAGTGTGGAAATGCTACAGATAAATAATGGATCAGCCTAAGCAAACTGCCTACAGGAGAGTGTTAAGAGTGCAGAGCACTGCACATTCCATCGAAATCTATCCTGAAGTCTGTAAATGAAAGCATTAATTGTTAATGGCTACCCTCAAGCAATTAAATTCTGCTTTTACTTATAAGGCTGCATTCACATTTCAGTATTTGTAACTACAGCTAAGCTAGCTTTTTACCTGGCTAGTTCAGAGACCAGGACGAGAGCGGCTACGGAAGCAGAGAACTGAGTTCGGTCTACCAGGGCAGAATCTGCTCTCTGCTTATGTACCCGGTACCTTTAATTTGAATGACTGAGTTGTTTTTCCCACGTGCCCCTGAGCAGCCCGTCAGCTGGCTGCACGGCACCTCCCTCTGGCAGCCCCACGTTCTGGGCACCTGAGCAGCAGGACCTGCTCCACAGCCCTCCCGCTTGGGCACAGGGGGTCTTCACCTGAGAGAGGTTCCACTGCGCCGGCGGGTTCTGCTGCAATCCGTACTTGTTCTGCGGCGTGACCATCTGTCCCACCATTCCACCTTGAGGTCCGACGACGTTCTGAGGAAGTCCCATCACACCAGTTTGTGTAGCACCAGTAAATCCGTTGGGCATTCCCATTCCTACCACGCTCTGTCCCATGACTGGCACCGACTGTCCCATCATGCTTCCCATCATCCCCGTTGCTGCAGGCACAGGGACTCCCATGGCTGGGAAGCCTTGGAAATGAGTTGATGGTTGGGTGGTAAAGGGCATGGAAGACGACCCCATGAACATGCCTGCATCAGAGGAGGGAAGATGTCAGCGAAAGTGTTCTGCGATTTCCTCCCCCATCCCCACCAGGCAGAAGTGCACCAAAGTAATTTCAGAGGATAACTTTGTCTGGGTGTCCGTCAGCGCTGTTCATTTAGTTTCTGGTAAAAGTGAAAAACAGCTTAAAAACTCTCACAGGAAAGGGACTCGCCACCAGCGGTGAGCTGCCAAAAAGAATCTGGCAGATCCCTGTGGTGAGCCCGAACCTTGTAATTGCTGCATCGGAGCTCTTTGCTTTCCTACAAACACAGCTAAAACCAAGACACGACAGCTCTGCACTGATCCTGGCAGCCTGCTGTTTGCACAGCGGAGACTCGCACCTTAAGCAACGATGAATTAGATCTGAATTCACAATCTTTCAGTAAATTGTATACTTGATAATTTGAACAGCTATAAATAAATTAAAATCACATGCTGTTTTCTTCTTTAGCTTCTGTATTACATTTCACTTATTTTCTCGTTTTTATAAATGGTAAAAATAAAAATCCTCATTTGAATATAGGTAGCAGGGTACCCGACCTTAATTTTCGACTTGTAGGAGATAACTATTCTAGGTAAAGCTTAAAACAGGACTGCACCGAAACCTTTACACACGTATTTACCCGGAGCATTTTGCTGCTGCATGGTTCCTGTGCCATACAGTGACAGGATGGAGTCTTTGGAGAGTTGTTTCTTTGCCGACTCTTCGGATTTTGTTGCTGGCTCAGTGAACAGATCAAGATCCCCCGACGCCGCAGACAAGGAGGCAGCTGCTGGTTTAGTGGAAGCGCTCTGGGAAATAAAGGTCAAGACAGACTACTGCATGAAAGCAGCAAAAGATGTTACGTTAAATATTTACGGTACATCCT